AACCCGAGTTAATCCTCTGCAAATGCTGAATGCTCTTACTGAAGAACAGTCCATGGAGTTGAAAGGGCTCATGTTCATTCAGGTGACACTGAACGGCAAGGAAGTTTTGGCAATGGTGGACACGGGGGCCACTCATAACTTCATTGCGCAGAGGGAAGTAAGTAACTTTAATTTAAAGTTAATTCCACATGCTAATAAGATGAAAGCTGTGAATTCTGAAGCCAAGCCTGTTTTAGGCATGGCCACCACTTCTATGAAAGTTGGTTGTTGGGAGGGCGTAGTTAGTCTTATGGCTGTTCCCTTAGATGATTTTGATCTAATTCTTGGAATTGAGTTCCTTACGAAAGCCAGAGTGGTAGTTGTGCCATATTTGGGAGGAGTTTTTATTTAGGACAGGAGTTGTCCATGTTTTATTCCATCAGTGGCTCTTTATGGGCACCAAAAGAAGGAAGATCGTAAATATGGTTGCATCGAAATAATCTCTGCATTGCAAGTGAAAACAGGTTTGAAGAGAGGAGACTCTACCTTTCTTGCAGCTATGATAGAGATCAAACCGGACCAGCTTGTTGAAGTTCTGGATTCTGTTGCTGAAATTCTAGAGGAATTTGCAGAAGTGATGCCACCAGAACTACCTAAGCAAGTGCCCCCTCGACGTGCTGTTGATCATAAGATAGAGTTGGAGCCGGGTGCAAGGGCTCCTGCTCAGGCCCCATACCGGATGGCGCCTTCAGAACTGGCTGAACTGCGTAGACAGTTGGATGAGTTGCTGGAGTCTGGCTATATTCAACCATCTAAGGCACCGTATGGCGCGCCAGTGTTGTTCCAGAAGAAGCAGGATGGCTCAATGCGGATGTGTGTGGATTATAGGGCTCTGAATAAGGTGACTGTGAAGAACAAGTACCCAGTGCCCAATGTCGCAGATTTATTTGACAGGTTGTCAAGGGCATCCTATTTTACTAAGCTGGATTTACGTGCAGGCTACTGGCAGGTGCGTATAGCAGAAGGAGATGAACCCAAAACTGCATGTGTAACTCGTTATGGGTCTTATGAATTTCTTGTAATGCCGTTTGGGCTAACTAATGCCCCGGCAACTTAATGAATAATGTGTTTTATGACTACATCGATTGCTTTGTTGTTGTTTATTTGGATGACATTGTAGTCTATAGTGAGTCATTGAAAGATCACTTAAAACACTTGAGATTGGTTTTCTCAAAACTGAAGGAGTTTCAGTTATTTGTCAAAAAGGAGAAGTGTGAGTTTTGTCGCCAAGAAGTGATGTTTTTGGGGCATTGGATCAGTAAGGGCCATGTCAGAATGGATGAGAGAAAGGTGAAAGCCATCCTTGATTGGTCTGCACCTACTAAAGTGACAGAGTTGAGATCTTTTCTAGGGTTGGCAAATTACTGCAGAAAGTTTATAAAGGGGTATTCCAAGAAGGTTAGTCCTTTAACGGACTTACTGAAGAAGGACAAACAGTGGGTTTGGTCTGAGGAGTGCCAGAATGCTTTTGAGATGCTTAAGCAGGCAGTGTCTACAGAATCGGTCTTGAGACTGCCTGACTTTGGTTTGCCATTTGAAGTGCATACTGATGCCTCTGATAGAGCAATTGGTGGGGTTCTAGTCCAAGAAGGACACCCATGTGCCTTTGAAAGCAGGAAGCTTAAGGATGCTGAACAGAGGTATACAACTCACGAGAAGGAGATGACTGCAGTGATACGTTGTCTTGACGCATGGAAGCACTATCTGTTGGGTACTAAGTTTACAGTGGTGACTGATAATGTGGCCAATACCTACTTCAAGACACAGAAAAAGCTTACTCCAAAGCAAGCTCGTTGGCAAGAGTTTCTTGGGGAGTTCAATTTTGTGTGGGTTCACAGACCTGGAAAGCAGAATCAGGTTGCTGATGCCTTGAGTAGGAAAGAAGTGCAGGAGTATGTGGCGTCGTTGACAACGGTGTATACTGATTTCCTTGACAGAATCAAAGAGCAATCTCAGTCCGACAATGCCTATCAGAAACTAAAGCAACAGGTTACTGATGGTGAAGTCAGAAAGTACTGGATTGAAGATAATCTACTCTATGCCAGAGGAGGTAGATTATATGTTCCTGTTGGAGGTTTGAGACGGGAACTAATGCGGGAAATGCATGATCCTTAGTGGGCTGGACATCCAGGGGTGGATAGAATGCTGGCGTTGATATCCAGATCATATTACTGGCCCAAGATGGAGGATGACATAGAGTTATATGTCAAGACTTGCTTGGTCTGTCAGAAAGACAAGCATGAAAGGAAGAAGGATGCAGGGCTACTGCAACCTTTGCCAATACCAGAGCGTCCATGGCAGTCAGTTTCAATGGACTTCATTTCTGGTTTTCCCAAGGTGGAAGGTATGAGATCTATTTTTGTGGTTGTAGATAGATTCTCTAAGTATGCAATTTTTATTACTGCACCACATGCATGCCCAGCGGAAGTTGCTGCTGGTTTATTTCATAAGTTTGTGGTGAAATATTTTGGCTTGCCCGAAGATATTGTTAGTGATCGTGACACCAGATTTACGAGAAGGTTCTGGACAGTGCTATTTGGCTTGATGGGTTCTGAACTGAAGTTCTCCACAGCCAACCATCCTCAGACTGACGGACAGACTGAGAGGATGAACCAGTTATTGGAAGAATATTTGAGGCACTATGTCACTGCAAGTCAGAAAAATTGGCTGGAGTTGCTAGACACTGCACAATTCTCTTATAATTTGCACAGGTCTTCAGCAACTGGAATGAGTCCCTTTGAGTTGGCAACAGGGCAACAACCTCGCACACCACAGGAGGTGGCAGTGCAGAGGACATGTGGAAGATGTCCTGCAGCATACCGATATGCCCGTTCCATGCAAGAGATGGTGGAGGAGGCACAGGACAGCCTTGCCAAGGCTGCGAGAAGGATGAAAAAGTATGCAGATAAAGGGAGAAGGCCATTAGACTTCTAAGTGGGAGACAAGGTTCTGTTGAAGTTGACTCCACAGATTTGGAAGAAGATAAGCAGCAAGACTGTTCACAGAGGGCTGATTCAGAAGTATGATGGTCCATTTGAAGTTGTGAAGAAAGTTGGGAATGTTGCTTACAGATTACAGTTACCTGAGAGACTGAAGGTCCATCCTACTTTTCATGTGAGTTTCCTCAAGCCTTTTCATGAGGACACTGCAGATACATCAAGACAGCAGGCTAAGAGAGCCCCACCTATTATTCGGTTGCAGTTTAACAAGGAGGTGGAGAAGATTTTGTCTCACCGGACCCAGGGTCAGAGTAAGAAAAATCGCAGAACTGATTACTTGGTGCAATGGAAAGGATGCAGCGAAGCAAAGGCTAGTTGGGAAAGAGATGTGACATTATGGCAGTTTGAGAAACAGGTAAAGGAGTACTTGGACAAGTCGATGAGGGCATCGACTTCTTCGGGTGGGGGTGGTTTGTTAGCCCCTTGACGGTTGTCCAAGGGAAGACATGGGCATTTCAAGGCCATGCCATGTCTTAGGAATACTTTGGCTTTGATTAGACAGCCATGAGGGTGCTCAGTGGGTTGTCAGCGTGCACAAGATGCTTAGCGTGCACACAAGATGCTTAAAAGGATGCTCGGCGTGCACTGGGGGTGCCCAGTGGCACTTTCGTAAATATGGCGAAAAGTGAAACTTGGAGTTTTGACTCGGGATCTTTATGGGAGATACCTTGAGTCCATAGAAGCTGGTTGGCGCAGACGGCACTCAATTTGGATGTCGAGAAAGGTCTGAAAGGCCATTATGACTCCTCAAGCATGGGTGATGTTTACTCCTGTCAGAGTGCTGGATTTCCTTAAGACTATATTAGAGAGGAGTCTGTTGAGCGCATCGGTTGGGCTATGGCATGGCTTGCTCAGAGGGCTTAGCCAACGTGCATGGGCACGTGTTGCACCACTCCAAGATGGTTGCACAAGTGGGGAGCATCCAAGATATTGAAGGGCAAATAAGTGTGCACCGACACGCGCGCTGAGTGCAACGGCGTGCGTGCGGGCGTGCAGGTGGGCGTGCGGGTAGGCGTCCAACCTAGTGTGCGCGAGCGTCTAGCTCGGCGTGTACATGGGCGTCCAGGTGGGTGTACAGCCACGGGCGCATGAGGGTACAAACATGGTGCGCGAAGAAGGGCACTAGTGTGTGCGCCGGCGTGCACTTTGGTGTGCACCCGAGCGTGCGCACGGGCGTGCATGGCTTGGCACGCCGTGCACTCAGAGACATATATATGTGGGTGCAGATTGGTGGACTTGGCTTGGGCTAGGTTCACAGGGTTGACTCAGATGTAGCTAGAGCATGGATAACACAAAGTCATGGCTTGCGGTTACAAGAGGTGGTGGCTTAGTGGGCTCGGTTGGTTGGGGGAAGTTACTAGCACTTCCCACTCATCATGGGAAGTGGGGGAGTGCTGAGTAACCTCCCAAACATGTGGCACAATTCTGAGAGGACCAACACACAGGCGGTTAAGGGTGGTTTCCTCCACCATGCAGAATCTAACTTCTTGTGGTTATGTGGCATGAGCAGCACATGCCAACAAGTCTAGCAGTTAGGCTTGTCAACTACATTATAGTGCTGGCTCATTTAGAGGGTGCCAGCACGACCCTAGGTGGATGGGGGTGTCATCCATCATCTTAGTGGGCAGTTATGGGCGGTTTTGAGAGTGGCCTATATAATGCTAAGGTGGGCTTTGTAGAGGGAATAGAGAAGAGGGTGTGAGCCTTGGTTGTTCCTTGTACGAACTCATGTTCCTTTGTAATATGTTTAATATGAGCAAAGGTTGGGGCTTGTCCCTGTAAACTGTGTGTGCCTTCTTTATATTTCTATATTGTGTGTATTGTGTTGTTGTGTTGGCTGAGACTTGGTGGCCCCAAGTGCCATTGCAGAGGCAAAAATTCGTGGTGTAATTTAGCCCTGTGACAATAACCATGGTGGCAAAATTATATATCCCACTGCTTATATTATCAATATTTGTTTGCATGGCAACTTCTAAATTAGTTGTACCACAGAATGAGCCTACATCGTTTTACGGTAGTCCAGAGTTACTATCACCTAGATTATGGCCAAAAAAGGAGATAGTGAGTTGTTGGTCATCTATAGCAAAGATTAATGAGTGTATAATAGATATTAATGATGCTATTCTCAAAGGCCAGTTCACAAGTCTAGTCGGAGAATGTTGTGAGGATATCTCTAAAATTGTTAATAGTTGCTGGCCTAAACTGTTTCCCTTTTTGCCTGAATTTTCAGCATTGATCAAGGATTATTGTGCTAAAGTTGCGCAAGCACCAACAACCGTTAAGGGAATGTAAGCATACATTGTGAACATGCACAAATAAAGAGCTAGCTATTTCATCTACTGTTTAATTAGGTAAGAGAATTGAAATCTTTTCTTGTTTAGTTGAGGGCTTGAAAGTACTTGGTAATAAAGCTTTTTTGTTTCTTAGGCTAGCTTTTAGGAAATTTTCATGTTATTTTGGAATATCTAATAATTTGATACTAAATAAATGTTTGAGTTTTTTTAACTTTTCTCTCTACTTTTTATATACATGAAGCCAAAAAATAATTTTTGTTTAGTAAATTGTGATTTATTTGGAAACAAAAACATGTGGGTGATAAAATACTTTTGGCTCTAATATATGTTTCACTTTAGCCAACAAGAAAGTTTTCTTGTGACAAACATGTGAAAATTAAAATTATTAATCTTGTCTTTAATCTTTTCAGTAAATTTAAAAATATATTTATAGTTAAAGATGAAATGATAATATAATATAATATAATAAGATCACCTCATAACTGTAAGTGACCTTGAAAAAAAAAAAAAACTATAAGTGAGGTCATTGTCAATATAAAATACGTGAAATATCAAAATCATTAGAAACCTCAAATAAATTTACCATAATAACATAAGAGTCATGACATTTTCAATCGAGGGATCATTGTCAATTTAAAACACACGAAACATCAAAATTATGAAAAACTTCAAATAAATTAACCCTTTAACAACATATGAGTCATAACATTTCTAATTGTCCCATTAGCTTTTGAAATTACAACACTACCATTACTTACAGTTACATATGTAAGAACATATATATCAATTTATTTATTTATTTTGTGTTTATGTGTGTGTGTTTCATGTTCATCCTTAATATATACGTAAAAATATATACTCCGTATATAATTTTATGTGTGTGTGTGTGAGTTTGTTTTTTTTTTTTTTTTTTATTTTTTATTTTTTATGTTCATCCTTAGTGTATAAAAATTTAAAAATTTAAATTCTATGATCATGTCCTTGTCAAAATTAATTTGTTTTTGCTTTAAAATTGACATTAGAGAAGATGAAAAAAATAGAGAAGGTTCTTAAGGAAAAAAAATTTAAAAAGGCAAATCTGTACACTCCACATTTTACAATCTGTATAATTTTCAAAATTTTATTTTTTTAAAAATATATCTCATATTGGTACTACTTAAAAAAAATAAAAAAGAAAAGTTACAGGTATTTCATAACATTGAGTGTTGTTATTTTCTCCAAATTACAAAACAGTCCCTCCAAATCATTATTGTTAATATTTGTTTGTTTCCAACCCTAGCCCAATTTCTAATAATAGTTTTCCAAGCATGCCCTTGCCACCATTTCAATACTAGATCATTTGTATTTTATAAAATCTTAAGTTATTAGAGAGGGTGTAACTTTGATATTAATTAATATCATTTAACACACACCATCATGTGTAGCCTTTTTTTGGAGTGTTTTTTAATTTTTTTTAATTACGATGACGGTGAAGTTTGAACTTGATATCTTTGGATCTAATACCGTGTTAATAACCATCTAGTCCAAAAGTCTTAAGGAATTAGAGAGGGTGTAACTTTAATATTAATATTCTTTAACAATATATATATGTGTGTGTGTTTATTATTATGGTCCTTAAAAATAGCTATTACCAGCCATTGGTTCCATTTACCTCAAGCATTTAACATTAAAACCTGCATTTGGGGAGATTAAGACCAAATTTCATTAAACGTTCAATTTGTGGTTACTTTTATTTAATTAAAATAGTCTTAATTAAATTTTTAAAAACTGTAGTAACATCAAACGTTTCAATTCTAAATTGCACCTTCTTCTCTCTCTAAATTCACTATAAATCCCACATCTCTCTCCTTCACAATACTTAACTCCTCTCCACAAACCTCTCACAACTTTCACTCACAACTATACTTCTTGTTGTTCTACTATTCTCCTAAAGTATACACAACCATGGTGGCAAAATTATATATCTTCTTGCTTATAATATCAATGTTTGTTTGCATGTCAACTTCTAAATTAGTTGTTCCACAGAATGCGCCTACATTGTTTTACGGTAGTACAGGGTTACTATCACCTAGATCATGGCCAAATAAGGAGATAGTGAGTTGTTGGTCATCTATAGCAAAGATTAATGAGTGTATAATAAATATTCATGAAGCTGTTCTCAAAGGCTAGTTCACAAGTCTAGTCACAGAATGTTGTGAGGACATCTCTAAAGTTGTTGATAGTTGCTGGCCTAGACTGTTTCTTTTTTTGCCTGAATTTTCAGCATTGATCAAGGATTATTGTGCTAAAGTTGCACAAGCACCAACAACCATTAATGGAGTGTAAGCATGCATTGTGAACATGCACAAATAAAGAGTGCGCTAGCTATATCTTCTATTGTTTAATTAGTTGAGAGGATTGATATCTTTTCTTGTTTAGTGGAGGGCTTGAAAGTACTTGGTAATAAGGTCTTTTTGTTTCTCAGGCTAGCTTTTAGGAAAATTTCATATTATTTTGGAATATCTAATATTTCGATGCTAAATAAATGTTTGGGTTTTTTAACTTTTCTCCCTACTTTTTATATACGTGAAGCCAAAAAATATTTTTTTTGTTATATTGTGATTTATTTGGAAACAAAAACATGTGGGTGATAAAATACTTTGACTCTAATAAATGTTTTACTTTAGCCAACAAGAAAGTTTTCTCGTGAAAACATGTGAAAATTAAAATTATTAATCTTGTTTTTAATCTTTTCAGTAAATTTAAAAATATATTTATAGTTATAGACGAAATGATATAATAATACTACAATAAGATCACTTCATAACTGCAAGTGACCTTGAAAAAAAAAAAGCTATAAGTGAGGTCATTGTCAATATAAAACACATGAAATATCAAAATTACGAGAAACCTCAAATAAATTTACCATATAATAACATAGTCGTGACATTTCCAATAGAGAGGTCACTGTCAATTTAAAATATAAGAAATGACAAAATTATGAAAAACTTCAAATAAATTTACCCTTTAACAACATAGGAGTCATGGCATTTCCAATTGTCCCATTCACTTTTGAAATAACAACACTACCATTACTTACATATGTAAGATATATATGTAAAATTATATAATCCGTATATCATTTTGTGTATGTGTGTGTTTGTGTTTTTTATTTTTAAATTTTTTTTATGTTCATCCTTAGTGTATAAAAATTTATAAATTTAAATTTTATGATCTTATCAAAATTAATTTGTTTTTGCTTTAAAATTGACATCAGGGAAGATGAAAAAAATAGAGAAGCTTCATAAGGTAAAAAAAATTAAAAAGGCAGTCTGAACACTCCACATTTTACATTATACTGTACAATTTTCAAAATTTTATTTTTACAAAAATATATCTTATATTGACACTACTTAAAAAAATTAAAAAGAAAAGTTACTGGTATTTCATAACATGGGGTGTTGTTATTTTCTCCACATTACAAAACAGTCCCCTCCAAATCGTTCTTGTTAATATTTGTTGTTTCCAACCCTAGCCCAATTTCTAAAACTAGTTTTCCAAGCACGCCCTTGCCACCATTTCAATACTTTATCATTTGTGTTTCGTAGATATCATTCAGGTAAATGATTTTACGAATTTGTCCATGGAGGTCAAGGACCTGATTCAGTTTTATTGTGTTAATCTAGCCGGTTTAACAACTATGGAGTATTTTTATTGAAGTAAATGCTAGAACTAGGGAATGGGTTGGTTATATTGATTTTAATAGGTGGCGTTTAACAAGAATTCTTATTCAACAATGAATTAAAAATAGAGTTTCTCTTCTCAAAGTATTTTAATCAATGGTGTACACATTATGAATAGGTTAGAATATCAATCTTCTATCATTTTCCTTTATATATATTGTTGGAATTTGTATGTCTTGACATAGCAAATTCCTATTTAAATTAAAATGACATATGTTCCTAATATATCTAAAATATTTATGTTTTATACAATTGGTGAATTTATTGTATTATGTTTCTATTCATTATGGAATTAATAATGTCCATTTGATTATAAGAGATATTTATATGTATGTAATGGTTATCAATACATGAATATAAATAGTTTATAGTCGGTAATTATGGATGAACTCATTATTAACTAAGACTTGAACTGGATCCGCATTAGGTTGAGATATATTGCGAGAGCCGTCGTATGCAATTGCTCCCTATTACTGTCATGATCAACATTTGACTCTTGAGCATGAGCGAAATATAAACTATATTATTAATTAGTAATTACTTTAATTTATTCGGCGGATTATTCGGAATTCATAGACCGGCACTTTGGGTAATTATGTAATTAATAGTTAGAGGGTTATATTTTCAATATTTGCATCATTGCGACTTGTATTTGTTTTGTATTGATTATGGTTAATCACAAAGTAAATTCGAAGGCCTTCGTGTGTTTTAGACAAAATGATTTTCTACATATTTATTTATTTAAATTATTATTTTTGTCAAACAAATTTTTATTGTGATCAAGTCAGAAAAATCAAAGGTACCAAAATAAATATATTAATTTAGTAGTCGTATTGATGACTTTATTTATTCGATAACTAATTATGCATAGAAGGGTCAAAATACAACATTAACTTAGAGGTTATTTATTATTTAATTAGAGTTCAGTTAATTTCTTTTAGTGGAGTAGAATTTAATTTATAAATTAATTAAATTAGGTCCATGGTATAATGAATCGGGCCAATTATTAATTCATTGTAACCAAGACAATAATAAGCCCAAAGGATTCTAACTCATAACCTAACTTGATATTGGAGGCCCATTAGATTTGAGATACCACGTGAATTTTAGAAATTGAGAAAAATATATTGTCTTCAATTATTATTTTTAATATTTTGCCTTTATATACATGGGGTCCATGCATATTTAATGTTACGCATTTGTGCATTAATTTTAGAAGACAAGAAAATATTTTCTCTCTCTAAGATTTTAGGGTTAGTGTTCTCATCTCAT